TAAGGAAAAAAAAAAAAAAAACTAGTCCCGAAACGTGCTTTCTCCTCTACAGCTGAAGCCATAAATTAAATACATTTCCTCTCAAATCACTTTATACTTCAGCACTCGTTCTGTAGGGATTACTCTGACGTGACAAGTGCATCATTTAGTATATTCACAAGATTTTATCACTTAGAGAAGTAGATGATTAATAAATAATACTGTAAGTGTGGGTTAATCTTCACTCATGATACACACACACATACAAACTTCCAGTTGCTAAACCACTTAGATCACTGATAGAGAAATTCAACATTTCATAGACACACAGATATTAACATCCATTCACACACCCTTACAGAGTAGACAAGAAGATAGTGCTGCTGCTCCATGCCAAAACAATGATTTCACTTCAGTTGGAAACTGTTACACATTCACCATTTTCTAAGCATCTCAGGAAAAACAAAACAAAACAAAACAAAACACACAATGATACTCTGCAAAATCACACTACATTGTCTTATTATTATTTTGGTGGAAGAGTAAAAAGAAAACCTACCTATAAGCAACTAAGACATATCATTTTTTATAGGCTTATCAAGAACAGCCAAAGAAACCCCAATGTTTTCTTTCACAAAGTAGGCTGGCAAAGGAATTCAATAAGGAGGTACAATTTGACACAGTGAAATAAAACCAGGCTGGCTCTCAGCCAACATGACGTTAGGAATCACACACAAGCTGCACCAACTGCCTTCTGGTTCATGGCTGACTTTTTAAAGCTACAGTGTGCCTGTTCACTTTTGCTAACTATCTTCAGCACATTTAGTGGAAGTGAATGAATCACGAGTCCAAAACTGCAGAATTCTCTCTGCACCTGTCTTGTATAAGGAAAAACAAGCTGTATCAATAGCCTCATGTTTTCTCCCTCCCCTTCATTCTTGTTGCATGGTATGTTTTTGCTGTTGTTCTGAGCTGACTGCAATGCTTCAAACTAGCCCGCCCCCCCCCCAATCCCCTGTGGGAAAAATAAAAGAGCCCAGTGCTTATGGGGCTATGACCAGTGAGCACTCTGAAGCTGTACTCCTGTGTTTCTCTTTCTTCCTAATAGAGATTCGTGGACAAAGTTCCCAGGGCTGGCTTTTAAGTAATCTCTTTGTGAGAATAAGGACAGCGCTGCCCAACAGAAAATCCTTTTACTTCGTTATGCAGGAAGTAACATATTTCAGAGTGGATGCAAAATAGATGACCAGATCTTCTGAGAACACCCACATTCTTTAATTTTGGCATTCATCCTACCAAATGAAGCCAGTAGAAATTCAAACAGAAAGAAACAAGACCTTATTATAAAAAATGAAAACAATTAGTTCTGTGAAGTTTAACTGTTTATCCAGTTGTTAAAAAAAAAAAAAAACATAATTCAACAAATTCAGCTAACAGTTCTTGAGTATCTGTGAGTACGTGGTACTCTATTAGTTATATATGAATAAAAAGACATTGTGCCTACCCCAAAATTAATAATATCCACCACCGCCGCCCTAAATTCAGGAAATTGGGAGATTGGGTGAAGAAGGTAGGCATGATCTTTTGATTTAAGTTTTTCCAGCCAATCTCACAGTTTTCTTGTTGGCTGGGAACCACTGTTAGAGAACATTCCCATCCCATAAACAACTCCGCACATACACAAAAAACATAAATGGCTGCTTCTTGGTTGAAATAAACACCAATCAACATTTAGACATTTTTTTGGTCCGGATGTCAAGGATGTCAACAAAACTTCTCAGACAGGGCCACAAAAAAAAAAAAAAAAAGTCATTGCTGTCAAATCGGATCCAACTCATGGCAATCCCTCCTTGGGGTTCCTAGGAAGTATCACTATAGAAGTAGATTGACCAAACTTCCTTCTGAGGAGTGGCTGGTGGATTGAACCACCAGCCTTCTGGTTAGTCAAATGCCTTAGACACTATGCCACCAGAGCTCAGAGAATGTAAATTCCCAGTAAGGTTTCTGGAAAAAATTATCTGCTCCTGTAATACCATGTAGATTTCAGGCAGAACTGGAACCTGATTTTCAAAGTCAAATTTTGCTTTTTTTATTTTCCATATTTATTGCAAGAATATCAGAAAATTCAACATCCTGAATGACCACCACTGAGAAAGAGCAAGAGTTCAAGTATTCTCTCTACTTATCTTTGCCATTACGCCTCTAGAAGGCAAACAGTTAAATTTAGGAAAGAATTCTAAGCACTCAGGCTGGTAGCATAGTGGCTAAGGTACTTGATTGCTAACCAGAAGGCTGGTGGTTCAAATACACCAGCCACTCCTTGGAAGGAAGATTGGGCAATCTACTTCTATAGTGATACTGCCTAGGAACCCCAAGGAGGGACCTCTGTGAGTTGGGTCCGACTCGATGGCAAATAACAACAACATTTTTTGAACCTGCGTCAGGCAAGGTGGATCCTTCACTTACTGGTCAAAACGATGGACTCTTACATAAATAAATAAATGATAAATAAAGAGCTCTCTCACCAACAGATTCCATAAAGTTTTTGAACTTGATCTAAAATTCCTTAACTGTTCTTCAACTAAATCCAAAGTGGCTGGATTGTGAAACCTAGGGAAAGAAAAGATGGACAAGGGGGTACCCTGATAGCCTCTGCTCAGAACAAAATCTCCAGGTTCACTAACCCTCTGAAAGGGAGAGAGGCAAGAAAATGTAGTTACACCCAACTTTTCTTAGACACACTCACAGGAGGAAGGCGTCTGTGAGTTTTTCCAAGCATTTCTTCCTACATATAGAAAAGGAAGCCGTTCTGGTGGTGCAGTGGTTAAGGCATTCAGCTGCTAACCAAAAGATCTGTGTTTTGCATCCACCAGCCGCTCCACAGGAGAAAAATGATGCAGTCTTCTTCTGTGAAGATTTACAGCCTTGGAAACCCTACAGGGCAGTTTTAATCTGTCCTGTAGGGTCGCTATAAGTCAGAATCAACTCGATGGTAGTGGGTTGGATTTGGTTTACAGAAAAGGACACCCCTTATCCTCTTGCTGCAGTGATCAAAAATTAGACAAGTGTAGGGGTTTCAGGGGGTGTTTGTAGGAAATCAATCCCATTTTATAAAAAGAGAGCCAAAGGCATTCTAAAATTATGACAACAGGAGGATTCACTTAGCAGCTAGTTTCTAACTTTGGTAATAAACTGACATTTGTAGATACAAATATATATGCTAATATGCACCCTATCCTTCCAACAAACTGTTTCATGTCAACTCTCTTCTCTGCTGTTTAAAATGATACGTGTGTGGTATGTAGCATGAATGCAGTGTGTGTGTACTGTGCGTGATGTGTGTGTATGTACGGTATGTTTGTGATGTAAATATTATGTGGTATGGGGCATTGTGTATGGTATTTGTAGTATGCATAGTGAGTGGTATGTTTGTGGTGTGTGAAGCTATGTGGAGTGTTCCTAATTCACATAGAGTGAGTGTGGAGTACTCCTATAAGAGATATAACCAAACGAGTCCTTCCCATCCAGCATATTATGGAATGTGCCAAAATAACTTCAGAGACACTTGCACAGGTATTCTGAAGCAATACTTTCAGGCCAACTTGGGTGTAGGCTCAGCTTGAGAGTTCGATCAGAAAGGGCGGGAAATTGGTGCCTAGGTAGGGTCTCTCAGTTGATCAGCACTCTTCCCCAGGCAGGAGGGGCTCTTCCAGGGAGCCTGCGGCTACCATCCCTAAAGAGCCTCTGTCTTGGGTCGGCTCCCAGGCGAGTCCCGCCCGGCTCGAGCGCTGACCTGGGTCCACATGGCCGCAGGTGAAAACCTAGAAAAAGTCGCCCGAGGGTCAGGGCCGAGCTCCACTCGACCCGTTGGGCATCGCTAGGGAAAGTGAAGAGCCATGTAGTGAAGGGGCGGTGGGGGTGGGGGGGCAGAAGAGGGGGCATCTGGCAGCCTCTTGGAGCAGCCAATCCAGCCGACAGCCAAACGACTCGCCTGTGGCAGCAGCGACAGAGTGGGAAGTTTCTAGCAAAGACTTTCAAGAAGAACTATTTCTTCGAGTTTGGAAGCTCCCAGGAGCAGCCCATCATTGGGAAAGGGGGCGTGGAAGGTGTGGCACTCGCTTTGCGTTGGGTAGAGCCGTGCCCCCACCCCGGCACATCCTGCGAGCGGGCTGGCTACGTCTTTGCTCCCAATTCCGCTCCGGGGTGACAATCCACGCTCGTGGGTGCAACAAGCTGCAGGAGCACTGGACACACAGAAGAGATGAAGGGAGGGCAGGGAGGTTTTTACTGTGGGTTTTTTTGTTTCCTTTCATCCAGGAGAGGGGAGGGGGTGGGCGCGTTCGCAGTGCCCCCGCAGCACAGGCAGATCACTTACCTCCCCGCACCGCGGGCGCAAGAGGCTTTTCCTGGTGCAGCTCTGCGGCGGGCAAGCGCCGAGCCCCACGGGAATTGTAGTCCTCCGCGGGCGGGGCGGGGGTCTGAGAGCTGGGGGCACTAGAAGAGACGCGGTCAGCAGGAGGTGGGAAGGGACCTGGAGGGTTGTAAATGAGGCACTGGGGCGCTGGAGGCAGGAGCCTTGTGAAAGTAGAGGACGTTTGCAAGAACTTAAAACCTCCAGAGAACTGGTGGAGAGTGAAACACTCCTAGAGAGGTTTTTTTAATTGGGAGTTTTCAGATACCTCTTGTTTTACTTACTGTTACTGCAACCCTGATGGAGTTTTAAAATTGGGCTTTGGCAGTAAACAGAGATTTCCCCGGGCCAAATTCATGTTCTTTAGGTCCCTACTCTTCCTTCATCCCCTAACACCCAGGTGACATTCTGCTTGGAACACCAGTTTGTTCACAGAAGAAGTCAGTTTGAAGCCCTGGGAGTGCAAAAACCCAAACTCACTGCCATCAAGTCGATGACGACTCATAGCGACCCCACTGGGTTTCCAAGGCGGCAAATCTTTACAGAAGTACATTGGCACCATCTTCCTTACTCAAATCGGCTGGTAGATTTGAACCGCCAACCTTCTGGTTAGCAGCCAAATACCTTAGACACTATTCTGTCAGCGCTCCTTAAAGGCGTGCAAAGGGAGGGTGAATTATTGCACTTCATATATTAGAGCACTTTACAGTTTACAAAGCTTTGTTTACTTAACTGGTTTATCATATTAGAATCATGAAACAACACTGTGAGTTAGGCAGAGAAAAACTAAAGATGCAGGGAGTTTTGTGTACCTGGATATGGGGAGTTCGAAGCCATCACGTGTTCTTCTTGTCCTTCTTCAGCCCAAAGTTGGCAGCTGGGAAGAGAGAGCTGGGAGAGGGAAGTCTTGCAGACAGTTAGATGTAGAGGAGGTGGAAGAAGAGGTGCCTGCTGTGAAGGACTTTCTTATTAATCCTTATTAAATGAGGAGATAAGCAAAAACAGAAGAAGCACTTATGGATTGGAAAAATGGAGTGGGAAGGAAAGGTAGATGGAATAGGTGAAGAGACTGAATAGAAGATTGTAATCAGGAGATCAACAATGTGGGCAAGTTGTATCAAAAAATAAAACAAACAACAAGAAAACAACAGGGATTTTTGTCACCACATAAAAGTGAAATTCTGGTGTTGTCACTTCCAAACTAGTGCTGTGACCTTAGGTAAGTTGCACAACTTCCCTAAATCTCATTTTCCTCATCTTTAAGATTTAAATTATAAAAGTTTTTACTTTATGATGTGGCTGTATGGATTAAAAGAGAAGGAAATCACTTGGTATAGTACTTGG